CTGTGTTTGTCCCTTCTTTGACATTGATATGTTTATGTCTTTCAGTCAATCTCTGGGTTCCCTTGAGTTTGTTGTAGTCTTGTTCCATTCTGGACTCTGCTTTCTGTTGACTGTGTTCCAGGTGATGTTGCCATACCTGTCAATCTCTGTTTGTTGTCTGTTCTTGTTGGTTCTCCATCCCCAGAACTCCCTTTTGGATGTTTTGAAGTGCTAGGTTGGTTTTGATGAATTCCCTCAGATTCTGTTTATCCTGGAATGTTTTGATTGTGCCATCATATTTAATTGATAGTTTTGCTGGATGATGATTCCTGGTTGACAGTTTTTTTCTTGCAGGGTTTTGAATATGTCTCCCCATTGCCTTCTTGCCTGCATGGTTTGTTCTGAATAGTCAGCACTTAATCTAATTTGTTTGCCTTTATATGTTATATTTCTCTTCTCCCTGGCTGCTCTTAGTATTTTTTCCTTGTCTTTGGTTTTGGAGAGCTTGATTATTATATGTCTTGGAGATTTTCTTTTGGGGTCTATCCTTCCTGGGGTACGTTGGGCTTCTTGAATGTATATTTTCTCGTCTTTAAAGATGTTAGGGACGTTTTCCTCCAGAAGCTCTTCCACTAGCTCCTCTGTAGATTTCCTTGATTCTTCTTGTTCCAGAATGCCAATAATTCTTACATTATTCCTCTTCATGTTATCCAGCATGTGTCTTAGATTGTCTTCAGACTGTTTTATCTTTTTAGCTGTTTGCTGTTCTATCTTGGCTGTACTGACAGATTTGTCTTCCAGCTTGCTAGTTCTGGCTTCCACCTCTTCCAGTCTGTTCCGTTCCCTTTTTAGACTATTATCTATTTCTGATATCTTGTTATTGATCATCTGGACATCTTTTTGCAGGTTTTGAATTGTTTCCAGTGCTGTGTCAATCCTATTAGATTGTTCCTGATTCTGGTTACTTCTTCCTTGTTTTCCTCAACCCCTTTTCAGAGTATTTGAATTTGTTTCCATATCATTCTTCTGAATTCCCTCTCAGGCAAATCCAGAACCCGCTCTTCCTCCTCTATAATATCTTTGTCTGTCTCCAGCTTATTTGTATCTGCTGCCTTTTTCTGCTTTTGGAGATGCTTCAATAATGTTAGTTGTTTCTTGTTGGGCATGATTATTCTTATTTTGTTGTAATTATTATTGCTACGATCAGGAGGTAGGCATCTGAAGACGTCCGAGAGTCACCGTATTTCAGTTGCTTACTGCGCCCCTGCCTGCTACACGCCTTAAGACTTCAAGCTAGGGCAGAGAATTCTCCTCTGGCTTTTGTCTGCTTAAGATTCTCCGTTTGGGCTGGCTCTAGCCCCACCCTCAAAGCTCTACTCCTTTCTTGTCTTCTTAATGACCTTTTGCTTTCTTCCTGTATGATGTCCTTGATGTCTTCCCACAACTCTTCTGGTCTTTGGTTTTTATTGTCTAATTTATCAAATCTGTTCTTGAGATGATCTTTAAATTCAGGTGGGATATGTTCAAGGTCAAATTGTGGCTCTTATGTTGTTGTTGTAAAGTGCTGTCGAGTTGGTTCCGACCCATAGCGACCCTGAACAGGGTTTCCGAGGCTGTAAATCTTTACAGGAGCAGAACACCTCATCTTTCTCTCATGGAGCAGCTGGTAGTTTCGAACTGCTGACCTTGCGGTTCACAGCCCAATTCGTAACCTCTATGCTACCAGAGCTCCAGTGGCTCTTATAGCACTGATATAATTAATGCCCAGAAGGCACTTCGCTGTAAGCGAAGCCCAAAGGTGCTCAGTTCTGACTCTATGTGTCAGCAAACCTAGCTCACCAACTAAGTATTTGGAGGTACCCCATTCCTCAAGCTAGCCTCCTGCCCAAGAAGCACTCAGCTGTATTTTCTCCATGGGCTGCGAAACCTGTGGTTCTGTGCTGTGCCCTGGCTCTGGGTTCTGCTGCTGCCTCTCCTCTGCCACTTCTCTGGTGTCACAATTTTCTGTCTGTGGATTGAGGAGCTCCAGTGTGCAGGGATCTCAGGTTCCAAATGACATGCCCCTCCATTCCTGGCTTCTCTTTATTGATGGTAGTGAGTTCCCTTTCTCTCTTTTCTAGATGGCTCATTTTCTACTCATCAACATTAACCAATTCCCTCATTAGATTTCCAAGTTTTTACAGAGTAAATATATTCAAACTGCATGGTCATTTAGTTGGGAGTTACAAAGGGCATAGCTAAAAAAGAGCCATGCTAAAGAATTCACTGCACCACAGACCGTTTTTTGAAGGCGTACTAATATGACTAAGACAAGTATATTACTGAGAGAACTTACCTCCAGACATGTTTAAAACTTTGCCATATATGGACTGGAACCCTAGTAGCAATACTTTTGGACTTAATACACATGTTCAAAAAGTTCATGGGAAAATGTAATGAAAAGATAATGAATGCTTCCTCAAACTGTCTGAAGCCTTCTCATAGTCATATGTATGTGTATAATATATATGTGTACATATGTATGTATGTGTATATATACAAAGAGAGAGTGAGGGAAGGAAAAGTCCTGAGTAATGTAATTGTTTAACATACTTGGCTACTAACCAAGAGATTGAAAGCCCACCCAGGGGTACCTCAGAAGAAATGACTAGTGATCTGTGTTTAAAAAACAGCCATTAACAACCCTTTGGAGCACAGTTCTATGATACACAGAAGTTGGAATTGACTTAACACTGTAAGCTGTAATTGACTCAATGACAGCTAGTCTAGTACACACACACACACACACACACACACACAGAGCTGAACTGTGGTGGTGGTGTGCTGTGGAGTTGGTTCAGACTCATAGCGAGCGACCCTGTGTAGGATTTCCGAGGCTGCAAATCCTTATGGACAGAAAGCCTCATCTTTCTCCCGTGGAACGACTGGTAGTTTTAAACTGCTGACCTTGAGGCTAGCAGTCTGACTCATAACCACTATGCTAGCAGAGAACACTTTGAGGTCCATAGCTCAAATGAGCAACAAAATATGAGAATACTTTGTTTACATTTCAGTCTTTCTTTCTTCCATTCTCTTCCTTTTGGTTCCCTGTTTGCTTTCCTCCATATTTCTGTCTAGTTCAGAACTGACAAATAAAAGCCATGTGCCACTGTGCTCTCCTCACAAGCTCATGGAAGACTTGTTGATCAGTCATGGCTTTTTCCTGTTTAAGCCAGGATATAGCCACAGAATCCGTTTTTTATACCAATTGATCACAATGAGCATTCCACAATCTATTCCTGCTGAATACCCAAAAGAAATGAGAACTTCTTTTATTCACCAAAAGACATATGCAAGAATTTTCCTGGCTCCTATATTCCCAGTAGCCCAAAACTGGAAGCAGCCCAAATGTCCTTTGAGAGTAGAGTGGATAAATTTGCTGTGCTATACACACACAACCAAATACTCCACAGCAGTGAAGGATGAACTACTGGTCACACTGAATGCACCTCCCAGATACAGTGTAGAGTGAAACAAGGAAGGCAGGCACACTATAGGAGCTGTCCATATGCAGTTCCAAACAGGCAAGGCCTTTTTATGGTGCTAGGAGTGAAGACAGTGGTTACCCTTGGGGAAACTGACTGAGGAGAATGAGGACGCTTCCTGAATGCTAAAAATGCTTTGTATCTTGTTCTTGGTGGTTTTTTGTGGATGTGCACAAATGCAAAAATTCATCAAGATATATACCTAGAATGGCACACTTTTTTGTAGTTATCTCTCACTGTTGTTGTTGTTATGTGCCGTTGAGTCGATTCCGACCCATAGTGACCCTGCATAGGGTTTCTGAGGAGCAGCTGGTGAGCTTGAACCACAGACCTTACAGTTTGAGCAGCTGGTGAGCTTGAACCACCGACCTTACAGTTCAAACGGCTTTGCAGTCTGACGCATTAACCCACAGTGCCACACCAGGACTCATTAGAAAGTCCTTAAATAGAACACCAATTTGAAATCTATAGCCAGCCTTGCTTCTTTGTTTTTGTGAAAGAGCATAAGCTCTTGAATTTGACTCAGGATTCAAGGCCAGACTCTGTCACCTGTATAGTATGGGTAAATGTACTTTAGTTTCTCACCTATATGTTATTGCTGCTAAGTGCCATCAAGTTGGTTCCAATTCATAGTGACCTCGTAGAGTTTCCAAGAAGCGATTGGTGGGTTTGAAGCACTGAACTTGTGATGGGAAGTCCAGTGCTTATCCTCCAGTGACACCCCAGGACCCCCTCACTCATATAGAGGGGATTAAATTGTAAACTCATCAAATATACAACGATGACTTTGTTGCTCTCGCTTTCTCTTCTGATTCTCTAGTTCTTCCTCATGCTTTTAAACATTCCCTCCGCTGTCTTTCTTCCTTTACTCTTCCTTTCATCTTCCCCTTTTATAAAAACCTAAAACATGAAGTTAAAGTACATATCTATGAAAATTTATAGAATAAAAGTTTTATTCATCATTAAAAACCAAGTGCACTTAGTATTTTCTATTTCTTTCTTTAAAACAAACTCCATGTAACCTAGATGAAAATATAATTTCTATAGATATAGATTATCTTAGTGGTCCCCAAACTTGTCTGCGCATTTGAATCACCTGGGAATCTCATAAACCGTCCAAATCCCAGGCCACAGACCAGACCAATTAAATCACATTTCTTCCTTCCATAGTGCCTCAGCTACTCCAACACAAAGTTCTGAATCTTGACTGTACATTAGACTCACCCTGGAGCTTTTAAGATAACAATGTTCAGTTTCCACCCTGGGTAAGGTCTGGATGTTCCTCACATATAGCTTGCATTAAGAGGCACTCTTCTAGAGGGATGGGTGTCCTAGTAAATCCTGTGACTAGAACAACTCCAGGTTGCCTCCCAATGTCCCCCTCAAATACAAAGTACTTTCCCCTAGTGATTCTGAAAGCTTTTGTCCTATTCTGTTGCTAACTGAATACAATGAAGAATGATGTAACACTAAGTTCTTGGTTTGTTTTGTCCTCAGTATGGAATTGTGTTTGATGCGGGCTCTTCTCACACATCCATGTACATCTATAAATGGTCAGCAGAAAAAATGAATGACACAGGGTTGGTGTATGAAACGGCATCCTGCGAAGTCAAAGGTAAGACTGTAAAAAAAAAAGGGGAGAGGGGAAAGAAATTGGGCATAAGACCATGAGAAGCATGATGAGTGGAATGCAGGAAAAGTAGCCCTAAATTATAGTCAAGTAAAGAAATAGTAGACATTGCTATTGTTATTTTATTATCTTTATAAAAATAATATCAAAATCAGCCCTTAACAACTCAGTCCTTGAAGAGTAAGCAAACTTAAGGATAATATAGTAATAGTTGATTCTGTTAATGGAACACATCTGTGTGCTAAGCACTAGGCAAATACTGAACATGTATAATCTCATGTCAACATCAAAAAATCTCCCTGTGAACTATGTATTATTCCCGTTTCTTAACTGAGTGAACTGAGGTAGAGACGAGACTATGTCATTTATTTAAGGTTACTTGTGCTAGTAAGTGATGGAGCTGGGGTTCAGAACAGGGGTTCAAACCAAGGGCTCAAACCCATGCTTTTAACCAGTGGTTCTCAAACTTGAATCAACAAAATCACTTCTTGTTGGTGTGGTCAAGTCGACCTTCAGTTCATAACAACTCTGTAGAAAATAGGCCTAGGGAACTGCTTCCATAAAGATTTCAGTCAAGAAAACTCTGTGGATTGTTTCTACTTTGTAACCCCTGGGGTCACCAGGAGAATCACCAGTAGGGATTATTAAAAACAGACACTGGACCCTACTACCAGAATTTCTGGTCTGGAGGGGGAGTCCTGGTATAGCACTAAGGATAAGCACTAGACTGCTATCCACAAGGTTGGCAGTTCAAACCCACTAGCCACTCCTCAGAAAGTCTATACAGTACTGCTATGAGTCAGAACCAACCCCATGGCAACAACAACAACATGTTGGAGTGGGGCCTGACGATTTGCATCTGTAATAAATCCTCCAGATAGTACTGATGTTGCTATCCAGAGAATTCCTGCTTTTACTCATTGTTCTCTAATTTCCAGCCAGGAAGAGAGTCCCTAAAACATTTTGCATACGTGGTGGGCAGAGAAGACCAAATGATAGAATTATCATAAAGTCTTAGGGATGGAAGAAGATCTTATATATTATTTAAATCTTGTTTTACAGAAAAGAAAAACCTGGAAGATTAATGACTTGGAAGTAGCAACAGAACCAGGACAAGACTTTGACAGGGCTTGGAATCGGTTCATTCTGGTTTGACTCCGTGGGGAGAATTTGCATTTCTATCCCAGGTACACTGGATTAGAGCTTAAATTTAACAAGATCCTCAAGTGATTCTTATAGATCCCTCATGTATACGTAAGAATCGCCTGGGGAATCTTGCTTACATGTAGAATCCGATTCAGTGTATCTGAGTGGAAATGCAAATTCTCAGCAGAGGGTTGAACTGAAATGAACCAGTGGCAGGCCTGGAGTGCAGGTCTCCTAACAGCACTCTGAGTTTCTGCTACTCTGAGTTTCTGCATTACAAACTAATATTATTTTTCTGGTTAGTTTCCTTTTAGGGTCACAAACTAAGTTAGGGTTGTTGCTAGTTCAGATTTCTCTATTCACTCCCACCCAAACACTCCATCATGCTTTAAACATCATCGCCTTGTACCATAATCTTTCTGATCTTGGTCACTATTGACCTTTTAAGTCAAAGACCTGCTGACTATTTTTAGTCGGAAGGTAACTGATACCCCAGAAGGTAACTGTTAGCTCGGTGGCCTATAGAGTCCGCTATTCAGATCCCCATTGAAATCTAAGTGCATTAAAATCTGAGAGAATGTGCTAGGAAGGTCATGCAATTGAAAATGAGAATCTCACCATCCAGTGGTAAAATTATTGAGCAGTGGCTAGACCTAGCCCATGTCTGAAAAGAAATCCTGTCAAGGTTAGCTACCCTGTAAGGACAGCTATCTAATATACCAAATCATTGTTTTCTTCCATATGCTCATCAAACCCTGGTATGTTATTCTAATATTGGCAAGTTATAAAAATGTCTTATGTTTGAGGAGGTATGTCCTATACTTGTTTTTGTTTTTTGTTTTCAATAATTAAAAAAAATTTTTTTTTAAAGTCTTGTCATCTTGTTTTACACCTTCCTATAGGTCCTGGAATCTCGTCATATGCTTCAAACTTACAAGATATACCCGTTTACCTGTCTAAATGCATGGGAAAAGCCAAGGATCTGATTCCAAAGTACAAGCACCAAGATACACCTCTTTACCTGGGAGCCACAGCAGGCATGCGGTTGCTTAGGTATCGCAGCATGTGGGGACCGAGAACAACTCAGAATTAGATTAGGCAGTGTAGGAAGCTCTGAAGTAACGAGACAGCACTGTATATCCTAACACTCTCAACTCTACACACTTTGAATGTCTGTACCTATAAAAGAAAATTTCAATAAATGAACAATAATCCCAACTTCTTAAAATGTATAATGGCGGGGTTTTAATCATGTAAAAAGCCCTCTTGCTAATTTCACCATGGGGAACACAGAGTGGGCACAGGTGAAGAAAGACTGAGACTAGATTCTCTGGGACTTGGGCCCCAGACTTGGCATTTAATATCTGAGAGGGAGGATCAAAAGAGACAAATTCTGTGTGTTGTGAGAGTCCCCTTGGCCCTCCCAGAATGGTATGAGGTCAAGAAGACACAGTAGAAGAGGGGCACTTGAGCTGAATCGTAAAGGACAGGTGGTGGCGGTTTTGTGCCTTGGAGTCATTTCTGACTCATAGTGACCCTGCATAGGGTTTCCGAGGCTGTAAATCTTTATGTAAGCAGAAAGCCTCATCTTTCTCTCACGGAACAGCTGATAGTTTTGAACTGCTGATCTTGAAGTTAGCACCCTGAATCGTAACCCCTACACTACCAGAGCTCCTTAAAGTATAGGTTGTTGTTGTTGTTGTTATTGTTGTTAAGCGCCGTCGAGTCAGTTCCGACCCATAGCGACCCTGTACAGGGTTTCCGAGGGTATAAATCTTTACAGGAGCAGAAAGCCTCATCTTTCTCCCGCGGAGCGGCTGGTAGTTTCGAACCCCTGACTTTAAGGTTCACAGCCCGATTCGTAACCACTAAAGTATAGGTAAAGGGTGGGAAAAGGGCATTACAAGCAAAGCAGACAGACGGCATGTGTTTAGTAACCAATGTTTATTTAGCACCTACGAAGGGGCTTCAAAAAGTTTGCAGAAAGATTTCATTATCCTTTAATTTCATGTTTCTATGAACTTCTGAAGCCCCTCATTATGTACTAGGCATAAATCGCCCTGGTGGCACAGTGATTAAGCTCTCGGTTGCTAACTGAAAGGTCAGTAGTTCGAACCCACCAGTGACTCCATGGAATCTTGCATAGATTGTAGCCTAAGAAACCCTATGTTGTTGTTATTGTTGTTGTTAAGTGTTGTAGAGTCAGTTCCGTTTCATAGCGACCCTGTATAGGGTTTCCAAGGAGCAGCTGCTCTATTCTAAGTGCTGGAGATATAGCTGTGTATAGAACAAAGTCCTTATACTCCTGCAGGGAAGTGTGACAGACGAGGGCATTGTTCAGACAACTATAAATAATTTCACATAGGTAGAAAATAAGGTTGTTTTGTTGTTAGATGCCATCGAGTCAGGACTGACTCATAGCGACCTTATGCACAGCAGAATGAAACACTGCCCAATCCTGGGCCAACCTCATTATCGTTGCCATGCTTGAGCCCACTGATGCTGCCACTTTGCCAATCCATCTCACTGGGGGTCTTCCTCTTTTTCTCTGACCTTCCACCTTACCAAACATGATATCCTTCTCCAGTGAATGGTCTGTCCTGACAATATGTCCGAAGTATGAGAGATGAAGTTTGGCAATCCAGGCCTCCAAGGAGCACTCTGGCTGCACTTCTTCCAACATAGATCTGTTTGTTCTTTTGGCAGCCCATAGTACTTTCAATATTCTCTTCCAATACCATAACTCAAAAGCATCAATGCTTCTACGGTCTTCCTTTATTCATTGTCCAGCTTTCATATGCATATGAGGCTATTGAAATATAAGGTACATATAGTATAATAATCAACAAGGAACTACCAGACATTCAAATTAGGTTCAAAAGAGGGTGTGGAATTAGTGATATCTTACCTGATGTCAAATGTATCTTGACTGAAAACAGAGAATACAAGAAAGATGTTTACTTGTGATTAGTATTGACTATGCAAAGACTTTGAATTGTGTGGATCATAAACTATTTCATGGCACTTAACAGCACAGCATAATTAACATTGTGAAGAATGGGTATTCCAGAACACTTAACTGTGCTCATGAGAAACCTGTACATAGACCAAGAAGCAATTGTTAGAACAGAACAAGGGGATACTGAGTGGTTTAAAATCAAGAAAGGTGTGTGCCAGAGCCATATCCTTTCACCATATTTATTCAATCTGAATGCTGAGCAAATAAATCAAGAAGATGGATTATATGATGAAGAATATGGCATCAAGATTGGAGGATGACTCATTAACAATCTGTGATATGCAGATGATACAACCTTGCTTACTGGAAGGGAAGAGAGCTTAAAACACTGATGCAGATAAAAACCATCAGTATGAATTGCACTTTAATGTAAAGGTAACAAAAATCCTCACAACTGGACCAATAAATAACATCATGATAAATGGAGAAAAGTTTGAAGTTGTTAAAGACTTCAATTTGCTTGTATCCACAATCAACACTCATGGAAACAGGAGTCAAAAAAATCAAATGATGTATTTATAGCATTAGGCAAATCTGCTGCAAAAGAGCTCTTTTTAAGTATTAGAGAGCAAGGATATCAGTTTGAGGAATACGTGTTTCTTATCCAAGCCATGGTATTTTCACTGGGCCTCAAGATCTGCGGTTCAAATCCACCAGCCATTCCTTGGATACCCTATACAGGGTCGCTATGAGTCGGAATCGACTTGATGACTTTAACAACAACAATACCAGGTGGAAGGCGCTCTGGTGGTGCTGTAGGATAAGCACTGAACTGCTAACCACAAGGTCTGCAGTTCAAACTCACCAGCTGCTCTATGGGTGGGAATAGGGTGGAGTGGAAAAGGGGATGGGGAGAAATGAGGCTTTCAGCTCCCATAAAGATGTACAGCCTCGGAAACCTTATGTAGGATCCATGTGAGTCAGAATCAACTCAATTGCCATGGGTAATACCAGATGGATGACAACAGCTTCTTACCCTGAAGTACTCATGTTGCATAGTCTAGATCTTGGGAATAATTGCATCCCATCTTCATTTATCAAAACCTGGGAAGATTCCTTTAGATCTTAAAGTCTCAGACAGTCTCTTAAACCAAGCATAATATGAAGACAATTTTTCCCAGTGTGGTACCGAAGAAAGTTGGTTTCCAGTTTCAGGTTAAAAACCCTCAAACAGAGCCTGGCTGTAATCAGCCAAAGCCCGCCATCATTGACTAATGTAACACTCATCAGCTCAATGTCTTGTTACCAGACCTACGGTAATTTTAAGAGCCTTTGGCAATTTTTTGAGCCAGGGACTAACAGAATAAAGTTGGTATTTTCAGAAGAGCTATCTGTCCAGGATTGGGACGTTTGCATTTAAAGAGGGAACTAAAAGAATAAACCTGCCTCATCTAAAAAGAGGACTCCTCAGACAGTCATGGGACGGTCCCCATCTCTCTGTTGATTCTCATGAGTTATGGTTCACTTTACAGGAGAATTGCCCAGAACCTTTAGCTGAAGTAGGCAGGAGGAATCATTAAAACAAAAACAATAACCTCAGCCATTCCTTTGTGTAGGATGGAAAATGAAGAGTTGGCGAAGATGATCCTGTCTGCTGTGACAAGTCTCTTCAACTCCTACCCCTTTAACTTCCAGGGTGCCAGGATCATCAGTGGCTTTGAGGAAGGTGCTTATGGTTGGATTACCATAAACTATCTGCTGGGCAAATTAGAGGTAAATATCTTACAAAACTCATGGGGGCAACTTCCTGGGAGGTCAGTGCCATTGTTATCTTGGGCAGTAGGTCAAAACAAGTAATGGGTAAATGAGTGAATGAACAAGTGAATTTCTTCCCACATTTATGAGTCAGTAGAAGCAAAATTCTCTCACAAGAGGTTCTACTACTGTAATGTTGTTGTTGTTGTTGTTAAGTGCTGTTGAGTCAGTTCTATCTCATAGCAACCCTATAAAATTTTCCGAGGAGCAGCTGGTGGATTTGAACTGCCTACCTTGTGGTTCACAGTCCCATGCTGATCATACAGCACCATACCAGGAGCCTGCTACTGGAATAAGGAAGTCATATCTTTACGGTACAAAACCTGTATTTTGTGATTTATGGTTGGGAGACAGGAAATTTAAAATCTATCATTAAAAATCAGAATAGCTAATCTTAGACTAGTGTCGTGTGTCTTGTGCTGTGCTAAGCACTTGACATGTACTGTGTGATTTCATTCTCAGAGAAACCTTGTGAGTTGTTATTGTTACTCCCATTTTCGAACCCCAGATTGAGGCTTTGAGAGAGTAATTAGTGTCTCCAAGGTCACATGGCTAATGAGCAATTGAATAGGGGATTTGAATCCAAGTCTGTCTGGTCATAGAGCTCTTGTTGGTAAGCACCAACCTATGCTGCTTTTCTGTTGCTGCACTCTATGCTCTGTCTCTGAAGCCCCTCACTTCTTGCCAATGCTCTGATGCAGGCTCAGGACTAGGATCCTCCAGTTCCTTTGCCATTTGAAGTCCCTGAGTCCAAGAAATAATGTGAAGGGGGGAGGTGTTCAGGGACCTCTAGCATTCAATGGTTGTATTCTCTTTCAGAAACATAATTGGAAAAACCAGTTTTTGAGAGAAAATGAGACTCAGGACACCTATGGAGCCTTGGACCTTGGGGGAGCCTCCACCCAGATCACTTTTGTGACTAGTACACAAATTAGCAAGCAATTTAAAAAAACGACGCAATTTCGCCTCTATGGCAAGAACTACACTGTGTATACCTACAGCTACTTATGCCATGGGGTGGATCAAGCGCTCTTGCGAAAACTGGCTCTGAATGCTAAGGCAAGTATAACTGAATCCAGACCTTCGCTCCCCACATTTGGGCCACCAATTCCCACATCCTCTTGTATTCTCTAATTTAGAAATTGATCTGTAGATGGCTACTGCTTCTCAAACCTTTCCCCAAGTCTGGTACCAAAGAAAATTGGGTGTCAGGCCCACAGCATTTACCTGTGTGGCTCCTATTTCAGGTAGTATAACTACATCTGGTTGTTCCACTCAGACATCACCTCTGTGTTTGTTGTACTATCTCCAAGGACTGCTTTCTTAGGAAATAATTTCCCATCCATATAGGGTTGGCAATCAAAATCACATTGTAGAATAATTATTGTGTGTGTATGTGCAAATGATAAAGTTCTCTGTTGTTGTTGTTAAGTGCCATCGAGTCGGTTCCGACCCATAGCGACCCTGTACAGGGTTTCCGAGGGTGTAAATCTTTATGGGAGTAGAAAGTTTCATCTTTCTCCCGCGGAGCGGCTGGTAGTTTCGAACCGCTGACCTTAAGGTTTGCAGCCCAATTCGTAACCACTACGCTACCAGAGCTCCTTTTAATCTCCATTTCCTCCAAATTGCAGAAAACAATGTTGTTAGAAACAAACTGGGGAAGAGGGGGAAAGCACTTCAGGTAAACAGTTTATAAATCAACACTTCAAATCTTGTCCCAGGATTCATTCTGCATTTGGAAGGCAAGAAAAATTAAATATGCTATGTGTCATACAATTACCAACACACTCTTACAAATAGAGCAATGACGATGCACCCAGCTCTTTCTTGTCTTTACTGAAAGGTCAGCCAGTTCTCTGCTCTCCTCTAAAGCTCCCTTATGTTTTTGTTAAGTGTCATCAAGTCGTTTCTGACTCATAGTGACCCTGCTTAGGGTTTCTGAGGAGCGGCTGGTGAGCTTGAACCATATGCCTTGCAGTTCAAACTGACTTTGCAATCCACAGCACCACAAAGCTCTCTTACAGGTTCTCAGAATCACTATCTGTAAAATGACCACCAAATGAGTAGAGGATGCTGAGAGTTGCCTACTGAACCGCATGGCTTTACTAAGTCTCTTGTCCACAGCAGCCCCCTTTCTTCTCTTACATATGTTGTTGTGGGCTGAAAATAACTGATTTTTTTAGATGATCTAAGGCAACTTTCTGCTTCTGGAGCTTCTAATTTCTGTCTGGAGCGGGAGGGACAGGAGGGCTCCCGTAGGACCTACACTAGGCTCAAAATGTTTGATAGTTTGAGTGAATCTACTCCTGACTTATGTGCTTAGGAGTAAGCACTCAGGGACAGTTTAGGCTAATGGCATCTCTGGATTCAGTTTTCTGTGTATAGCTAAAGTTCATTGATATCTACTAGCATTTCTGGTGACTTATGCAAATCTGACTATTTACAAGGGTTGAACAGGACACACTGATGCTAATGTTCAGTGCTGGGATACTGTAAGATGTCTACACATTGATGAAGTCAGGCTGTGATCTTTTGTACACAGAGTATTCACATATGATACCTTCAGTTGCTTTTTTCCATTCAGGATGCAAGTCCAGGAGCCCTCATGGAACCATGCTTTCACCCTGGGTATGAGAGGACAGTGCTCACAAGTAGCCTTTTCAGCAGCGTCTGCACCAAGATATACAAAAACTGGATTTCATCCCGTAACCTTACGATACAAGGCACTGGAAACTTTCAAAAGTGCAAGGAAAGCATCACTGAGCTCTTCCAGAACAATTATTGCAATGCCTCATATTGTACCTTTGATATGATTTACAGGCCACCAACTGAAGGACATTTTGGAGTAAGTTTATGAAGTGATAAGATGTTTTGGTTACGATGAGCTGGGAAGCAAAGAATTTAAATAATAGGATCTATTTTTCTTTCACATAATGATACATTTTGAGGTAGATAATTCAGAATTAGTTTTCCAGATCAGTGTCAGGACTTGAGATCAGCTTCTCCATTATCATTGTCAAGTTAAGAACAGCTACTGTTTTAAGCATTACATCTTTACATGCAAAACCAAAGCTAGAAAGAAGGAAGTTTCTTCCATACATATCTCTCTTTCACTTTGCAGAGATGTTAGCAAACATCCTTTCGAGTCTCATTGGCCAGAACTTAGGGAAACGTATGCTTCTAAATCAATTTGTGCTAAAGGGGAATGGATTATGATAGTTGTATTAGACCTACCATTGTTCATGCCCTGGAACTTTCTTGAGCACATTCCTTCCCTATGTTGTTGTTAAGTGTTGTTGAGCTGGTTCTGATTCATACAGACACTGTATAAGGTTTTCAAGGAGTGACTGGTGGATTTGAACTACCAACCTTGCAGTCAGCAGTTCAGTGTTTATCCTACAGGACCACACAAGGACACTCTGGTTGTTACTGGTTTGTTGTTATGTACAGTCGAGTTAGTTCTGACTCATAGTGACCCTTCGTTATTGTTGTTTGTTGTTAGGTGCCACTGAGTCAGTTCCAACTCAGTAACCATACGCACAACAGAACGAAACAGTCTTACATCATCCTCACAATTGTAGTTAAACTTGAGTCCATTATGGCTGCCACTGTGCCATCTTTTTGCTGACCCTCCACTTTATTTGTAAAGTGTCCTTCTCTAGGCCCCTTCTGATAATATGTCCAAAGTATGAAAGGTGAAGTCTCACCATCCTGACTTCTAAGGAGATTCTGGCTGTACGTCTTCCAACACAGATTTGTTTATTCTTCTAGTAGTCCATGGTACTTTTAATGTCTTTCTTAAATCCCCTAATTTAAATGCATCAATTCTTCTACAGTTTTCCTTATTCATTGTCTAACGTTCACATGCATATGAAGCTATTGAAAATACCATGGCTTGGGTCAAATGCACCTTGATCCTCAAACTGACATCTTTGTTCCTGAACACTTTAAGAGGTCTTATACAACAGATTTGCCCAATGTAATCTGTCATTTGATTTATTGACTGCTGCTTCCATGAGTGTTAATATTGGATCAGAGCAAAATGAAGTCTTTAACAACTTCAATCTTTTCTCCGTTTATCATGATGTTTTTTATTGCCTCATTTGTGAAGATTTTTGTTTTCTTTACATTGTAGTTCAACCCATACTGAAGACTGTGGTCTTTGATCTTCATCAGTAAATATTTTAAGTCTTCTTTGCTTTCAGCAAGCAAAGTTGTATCATCTGCATATGGTAGGTTGTTAATGAGTCTTCCTGATTCTACATTGTTCTTCATATAATCTAGTTTCTTAGATTATTTGCTAGAAATGCAGAATGAATAAGTGTGGTGAAGGAATACAACATTGGCACAAACCTTTCCTGATTTTAAACCATTCACTGTTCCTTTTTTCTGTTAAAAACAACAGCCTCTTGATCTATACATAGGTTCTTCATGAGCACAATTAAGTGTGCTGGAACACCCATTCTTCACAATGTTGTCCATAGTTTGTCATGATCCACACAATCAAAAAACCTTTGTGTAGTCAATAAAGTAGAGGTAAACATCTTTCTGGTGTTCTCTACTTTCAGCCAAGATCTGATGTCAGCAATGATATTCCTTGTTCTACATCCTTGTCTAAATTCAGGTTGAACCTCTAGTAGATCCCTGTTGATGTACTTTTACAACTGTTTTTTAATTCTCTTTAGCAAAAATTTACTTGTGTGTGATATTAATGACACTGTCCAATGATTTCTGCAGTCTGTTGATCACCTCTTTTTGGAATAGGCACAAATATGAATCTCTTCCAATCAGTTGGTCAGATAGCTGGCTTCCAAATTTCATGGCATAGATGAACGAGTACCTCCATGCTGTTTGTTGAAAGATTTTCATTTGTATTCCATCAATTCCCAGTGCCTTGTTTTCTGCCAATGCCTTGAGTGCACTTTAGACTTCTTCCTTCAGTACATTGGCTCTTGATCATATGCTACTTCTTGAAATGGTTGAACATTGGCCATTTCTTTTTGGTACAGTGACTTTGTATATTCCTTCCATCTTCTTTTGTTGGCTCCATGTCCCAAATTGAAACAAACCAGTGACTCATCTGACACCCTGTTGCTGAACTGACACTGACTGCCCATCTCGGGCTTTCTTGGCCCAGAGTACTTGCTTGGGGTTGAGCTGTTGAGGAAAAAAAAGTGCCACAAGAGGGGCTCAAGTTGGCCAGGGCTGCTGGGAAGAGCCAAGGGTCCTTTCCATTCAAGTCACTACTAGGAAATCTACTTGAAGGACAAGCAACAGACCCTGTGCGTTGTTTTTTGAACCCATTTGAAAGCTCCACCTCCTGGAAAACAACCCAATTCCTGTCTTCAGGCTTGAGCAAACTTTTCCTCCTTGGGGTGGGGATGGGGAGTGGGAATAGAACTTCTTGCCTTTAACTCTGATTCAGTTAATTAAGCACTGAACTAATTGCAAGGTCTGTAGTTCAAACCCAGCAAATACTCTTAGAAACCCCATACAGGATTACTATGAGTCAGAACCAACTGAACAGCACACCACCCCAACAACACCTAAGGTAAGGAGAGGTTGTTGCTTTTAAGTGCCATTGAGTCAGTCCGACTCTTAATGACCCTGTCTAGGGTTTCTGAGGAGTGGCTGGTGGGTTTAAACTGCTGACCTTGCAGTTCAAATCAACCTTGATCGCCTTCTGAAGGCTTTCCTGATTGGCGCTGTAGGATGAACCCTGGACTGCTAACCACAAAGTCGGTGGTTCAAACCCACCAGCCACTCCTCGGAATCCCTAGACAGGGTCGCTATGAATTGGAACCAACTCAATGGCACAAAATAACAACAACACACCCACACATTTACCCTCAGTCCCTCATTGAATTTGTCCTCCTCACAGTCTTCTAACTTCAATCCAGCAATTCCTCTGATTCTTAGCTCATATCATTCCTCTGAATAGAAATGTTTGTCTCTGAATAGAGCCTCAGGATCAGCACCATACTGGTTTCGTTTCCTTCATGTTTTAATTCTCCTCTCTAATGTCTCACTAAAGTCTTAAGAATTTTGTTTGTTTCTTCCTCCATAAAATGGAGACAGTAATCCCCATCTCATTGGTAGTTGTGGATAGTAGATCAAGTAGGCAGACAATTGTGTGCTAGTAAGTGGTTAACAACCAACTCACTAGAAGAGGGTTGAGTTGTAGTCTTTCCCAGTTTCCATGGTATAAATACTGGAAACATGGCCTATTCCAAGGTACCAGCATGACATTAAGTGGTTCACCAAAATTCTAAAAATTGAACAATCACCTCATGAGTTCATAAGAGCCAGCCCCACCATACCACTGTAAGTAGCCAGGTGAGTTAATGCACCTGAGTTGTGATGGTGGTTAGGTGCCATCGAGTTGGTTACAACTCACAGTGATTCTGTGCACAACAGAATGGAACACTGCCAGGTACTGCACCTTCCTCACAATTGTTGTCTTTGAGTCCAGTGTTGCTGCCACTGTGTCAATCCGTCTCTTGAAGGGTCTTCCTCTTTTTTGCTCTCTCTACACACTAGATAGGCCCTTAAAAAGGTTAATTCTTTCTCCTAGAAATTCTCATTCTAGATTATCAGTCCTAAAGAGAGTTCCAATTCCCTAGCCCTTCATCCTAAAGCATAACCATTTGCAACACAGAAAAACGCAGTTGCGTTCCCATAGTTATAGAACCACTTAGCCTGGGCATTCTCAAGCCACAAAGAATCTATAAGGAGAAAATTTGGGCCACAATTGTATTCAGCACCAATGATCTAATTGTTAGTCTGTAGGAGTGTAGCCATGGGTTGGAAACGAGATATCCTTCACTTTTATGAAAGACCTACATTCGTGCTGGGTTTTGCTAACTGAAAGAACCTGAAGAGAGTTTTCACTTTTGTGAATTAAGGTGAAAAGTGAAACTAGCTTCAATGTTTGTTTTGCAGCAAGCCATTAGAGAGACAACACGCCCCCCCAGTAAGAGTGGTATCTCAAGATCCTTCCCCAGGAACTACACTAAGCATCTCAGTGTCAAGCTGCCATAGCTTTGAATGGTGTGAGCATCTGTGCTTTATCTCAATTTATTTTGTACATCTGTGAGCAAGCTGTGTCCTGAAGGTATCAGAAAAGTCTAAGAGAGCTCATAAGGGAGTTATGTTTAATGTAAAACTGGACATAATTAAGCATTTCAATTGTGATGAAAGAAATAACACTGTGTGTACAATGAACTAGCCTGCATTCATATTATCATATAGTTTTTCTAGCACACTATTGTCAGCATTCAAGCATCCTGCAGACGTGCCCTTCCAAAAAGAAAGTCACACTTCCCTGCAGTCGTGGTGGCACTACTGTCAGTGTTAGCAAAAATCTCACCTCAATGCTTCAGGCTCAGTTTCTAGATGGCCCTTTACTTTATGTAGGTTGTGTATTTATCATATCATTTCTGCTTTTACTATGTTGTTATCATTGTAGGTGCTGCCGAGTCAGTTCAGACTCATAATGACTCCGTATAGTGTTTCCAAGGAACAGCTGGTGGGTTTGAATTGCTGACCTTGTGGTTCACAGTCCACTGTTGATCCTACAGTGCCATTTTGGGGAGTGTGGTGGCTCCATTGGATAAACCCTGGACTGAGAACCACAAAGTTGATGGTTTGAGCCCACCAGCCACTCTGAGAGAGAAAGATGAGGCTTCCTGCTCCCTCAAAGATTTAAAGCCTCAGAAACCCTATATTAGGTATCAATGAATCAGAACTGACTCGACAGCACTAACAACAAGTGTTATTTTAGGTTTTATGGATTATTTGGTATGATTTGGTAGGTTCTTTTTTGGGTCTGAGAATGTTCAATATTTTTTCCTTTATAAATGAATGGTAATTGCTTCTTCACTTTACACCATTTTGGCTTACAAAACATTCCATAAGAAAGCTGTAATTTAGACAGCTGGGGGAAACTATTTTAAAACTTGTGCATGCTCTTGTCAGTATGGTGCAATGTGGCTTTGGTTGCTAGACAGAATCCAATGTTTTAGACAATTTTGAAACATCAAAAAAAGAAGAGGGAACATCTGTGAGGAATTATTTATGAGGTAATTTAGGGGAAAAAAAATTGTTTTTCAAAATCCCACTGTGTCATTTTCTAAACAGGAAGGGTGGAAACTAATTCAGTAATAAATTGGGATTGTTGTTAAGTGCTATCGCATTAGACGGATAGCAACCCTGTATAGGGTATCTGAGGTGCAGCAGTAAAGAGTATTAAAAACCTAGTTGTTTACATACGTACATATACATAGGAGCACTGGTAAAGTTGTGGGTTACAAGTTAAGCTGATAAGCACAAGGTCAGCAATTTGAATTTACCAGTCGCTCCTCAGGAGAAAGGTGAGGCTTTCTGTCCCCTTAAACATTTACAGCCGTTGAAACCCTATCTAGAGTTGCTGTGGGTCTGCACTAGCTCCACAGCACACAAGCAATACCAGGCGTGTACATACATGTATGTGTTTAGTTCTGAGCAACACCAGGCGTGTACACATGTGTATGTGTTTAGTTCTGCACAACACCAGCCATGTACACGTGTATGTGTTTTGTTCTGAGCAACACCAGGCATGTACACACGTGTATTTTTGTCTGTTTCATCACGATGTAACTCCAGTGCCTAGAATAGTTCTTGGAACATAGTTGTGATTCAGTAAATACTTGTTGAATGAATAAATGACTTAAGGTAATATTGCCCAGAAGTCAAGCAAATATGGAATGAAAAACTAGTTATTTGTCTTGGCAGTTAGGGGGTCACTGTTGAATTAATTGAGTGCATGTTAGAGTGGACTAAGGACTCCTGGGAAGATGCTTCAAAGTTGGGGGAGCAGGGAAAAGAGTAGATAACTAATATCAGGTTCTTCTCCTCCACTATATCCTGAAGGCAGAGCTAGTGACTTTTTCATCTTTCCATTTCCAGGCCTGCCAGAGTGTGGAATATTACACATGCTAAGTACTAGTACAAGAACTTAAGTATTTGGAATATTCTACAGAGATGACCAGCCTGCCTAGATGTGTGAATATAATCAGAGACTTGTATGTGTGTAAATAGTGCAGTGGGTTTTCATGTGGGCTAGACAGGAGCCATGCCTCTGATAATCTTTTTAAAAACACTCAGGCATGTATAATCATTGAAACTACCACAGGGCACATTCTGCAAGCCTTCCTCCTGGCTGCCAGCTCTCAGTCCCTCTCTTTTCATGAATCTAGAGTCCTCGGCTGCTCCCTCTCTAAATGTCCCCATCTCTGCCTCCATCTCTGGTGTCACTGCTTCTCTGGATAGGGCCCCACATTCCTCTAATGCTCTTCTCCCTTGATGGTCCTAGGGTGTTCTGTTCCTGGACTGTAAGATTAACTACTCCCTCATTTATGTTACACAACTTTACAGTTGTGACCATAACAATTAGTCATGATAACAATTATTCACTATTGAATCATAAGACTCTTATCCCCATCTCCTTTCACCAGACCCATCTAGACAAGATGAAAACTATTCAGTGGGGATTCTACATTCTCCCGCACACTGTTAAACTAAACTCCCTCTTGAAAACTTATAAGCCAGTCACTTCATGCCTTTAGGGACCCCCTACCTCCCATTTTAGGTAGCCAATGTCTAAGTTGCCCATCCCTATCAACTCTGTGTACAGAGGGGATAGGATAGATCCTTGACATGAAGACTCCTTCCCTCTCAATTAAAATACCTTCTATTTGCCATTGAAGATCTTATAGCCAATAGGAGTATCTGTGATGAAAGGAAGCGCATAATACCATACTGCTTTCCATTTTATTTTAGAATGAATAACTCTAACTCTAAGGAGGTTACTTTTATTGGGCTGAGTCTAGACACTTCCAACTCTGAGCTATATTTCTGTTTTTTTAATCTTCCCCAAATAAATAGAAACTTTCTGGCTCCTTCCAATTTTTAAATCTAAACCCATTTCTTTATACTCATTACTACTGAGTTCAGAACTTCAGTGACCTTAGTTTTCTTTCTTAAAATTATTTGGCATATACTTCCTCTGTTTCTTGGAGGTATCTGATGGCTTTCTCCCCCAAGTGAAAGAGTATCAATTTTATGTTTAGATGCCTTTGAGATTTATGGCCTGTAAACTCAGGTTTCTATAGTATAGGAAAATGGTGGTGATTTTAGGAAGAATGAGGACAAAAATATACTTCAGTGGTCTGGAAAGAAATGTTTCGAGGTTCTGGAAGAAATTAATAACTGTGTTAAGGGAGCACATTGCTGAGCCATACCTGGGATTGATAAAATATAGAACATATTTTAGGCTGTCTAGCAAAGAAAAGTTATCTTCTATAGTTATAAAGCGGTCTACCTTTTTCAAAGTAAGTTGCTGCTGCTAAGTGACATCCAGTCAGTTCTGACTCATATCAACCCTGTATAAAGTTTCCTAGGAGTGGCTGGTGGATTTGATCTGCTGACCTTGTGGATAGCAGCCCAGTGCTTATCCTAATACACCACACCAGGACTCTTTTTAAAATTGGTTTATCTTCTTATTGTTGCATTATAGAGACAGATCTATTTTAAATATCTATACACATACAGACACATGTTATGATATATATTTAAAATATACCTGCCTCTACAATGCAGCAATAAAAAGGCAAGAAACCCAATTTCAAAAAAAGGCAAAAGACTTGAGAAGACATTTCTCCAAAGAAAACATGCATATTTGCCCCTAAGTACATGAAAAGATGCAAATTAAAACCTCAAATGGGAACCCACTTCAAACCCAATAGGATAGCTATTATCAGAAAAAAAACCCAACAATAACCAGAAATGATGTTAAGGAGGATGTGGAAGAACTGGAATCCTCCTGCATTGCTGGTAGGAATGTCAAATGGGACAGTTGCGATGAAAAAATTTGGCAGCTCCTTAAAAAGTTAAACATAGAATTACCATATAGCCAGCAATTGCACTCCTACATGTACACCCAACAACCCCGAAAGCAGATCATGCACATTGGTATTCACTGCAGTCTTCTTCACAACAACCCAAAGTAGAAAGTATCCACATGTGTAGCAACAGATGACTGAATCAACAAAATATGGGGTATACATATAATGTCATATTATTCACTAATAAAGAGAAATGACGTTCTGATAAATGGTACATCATAGGTAAGTCTTGAAAACATGCTGAGCAGAATGTAAAACAGTATGCTGATTAGAATGTAAAACATTATGCTGAGTAGAATGTCAGACACATAAAAGACAATTATTATCTGATCACACTTTTTGAAATATCTAGAATAGGAAAATGTAGGATAAGCACTGGACTTCAAACCATAAGGTCTGAGGTTCAAACCCACCAGCTGCTCCTCAGAAACCCTATACAGGGTTGCTATGAGTCAGAATTGACTCAATGGCAAACAACAAGAAGGAACGGTGGGAGTGAAGAGGTATTGCTAACCAGGTACTGAGTTTCCGTTAAGGGTGATGAAAAGTTGTGGAAATGAACAACTTATGGATGTATAGCATGGTGCATGTAATTAACATCAGTGACTTATATACACTAAAATAGCAAACTTATTGTTATATATTTTTCCACAATAAAAAAAATTTAAAGATTACAGAGAAAAATTAAAAGCTAAGTGGCTCAGAAATCCCTTTTTCAAAAAGTTGCTGTGGACAAGTTTGGGTCTAGACTATAACTTGGTCTATTAAGCCACTCAAGAGATTTCCAGTAGCACTGTGGGCCAGGCATGGAGATTGCAGTTAGTGAGGCCAGCGGTTCAAACCCACTGGGTGCTTTGCAAGAGAAAGATGAGACGATCTGCTCCTGTAAAGATTGATAGTCTCAGTAGGGTTTCTGTGAGTCAGAACCAACTAGATGGCAGTAGTGAGTTTGTTTAGGGAGTGGGGAGGAACTAGGGACATGGCCTTCTGAAAAGCATCTCAATGTTCCTGTGTTGGACACACTCATGCATTTTTTTCTCTTGCAGGCATTTTCAGCTTATTACTATGCGATGGATTTTCTAAACTTGACATCAGATAAAGTATCCAGTCTTGATATGGTGACTCACAAAATGGAAGAGTTCTGCTCTACGCCTTGGTCTGTGGTAGGTGATTAGAAACAGCAACTATGACAATGATCCTGTGCTCTTGATAGCATGGAAGATGCTAGTCTGCTCTGAAAATGGGACTAGTCTGCCTTGACCAAGATCCAACAAACGTGTTAGAGATGCCTGGATGGTGGCCCCCAGTAGGAATGCATTCATACACAAATTGGAGATAACATACTGTTGTCTATGCCAATTTCCCTATCCCCCAAGTCAGAGTTCTATTAGCAACATCATAGATGTCATGTGGTAAGTAAGACCTTTTTACCACTACTACCCATGTCAAAGTCTTGGTGTGGTGCTGTGGGTTAATGCACCAGACTGTAAAGCCATTTGAACTGCAAGGTCAGTGGTTCAAGCTCACCAGCTGCTCCTCGGAAACCCTATACAGGGTCGCTATGGGTTGTAACTGACTTGACGGCACTTCACAACAACAACAACCTGTGTCAAAGATGCCTCCTACTTACGCATCAGTTTGAAGCACAACTTATTTTCTCTTCTTTGAGGCATTGAATCATTCCAGATCTAGTGAAATTTTCCTGGGAGGAGAGAGGTATAGGTCCACTCCAATTATAAAAGACACGTCACCTTGGAGTACTTTCAAAGAACAGCTGCTTTACATTGACACAGTTGCAAAATTGAGTGGTGCTTTCATCCTTAAGAAAGGCATTTAATTAAAACTGGATGCTTGTCCTCATTTGCACTGATAAAAAAGGAAGAAAGGTTGAGCAAGAGTCTGGAGGTTTGGAATTATTCCCCACTTTCCTGCCTGGGTTAGAGAAAGTGGGTTCTGGGCCTTCAGCAAGAGCTGCTCAAATGTTGTTGTTAAGTACTGTTGCGTTGGTTCTGACTCATAGCAGCCCAGTATAAAGTTTCTGAGGAGTAATTAGTGAGTTTGAACTGCCGACCTTCTGGTTGAAACCAACTTTGCAGTCCTGCTCTTATCCAACAGTGCCACACCAGAAGTCCATTTTAAGTTAGTTGTTAAGTGCCGTCAAGTCGATTCTGACTCATAGCGACCTTGTAGAGAGTTTCCAAGGAGCCGCTGGTAGTTGAGTGCAAATTATTTTCATTGCCCAAGGAAGGTGTAATCAGCGCAAAGCCTCTCAGGATCCAGCTCAGGAAGCAGGACACTGCACTGTGAGTGAGGCCCTGTCCTGAGAGTTAGCTCATCCCCTCAGTCACTGTTCTCTTCACTCTCCTCTTCCCCAAGTGTCTTGGAGTCCTCTTCTTCCTCCCTCAGCCCTGCAAAGAAGCCATTGGCGCTCCAGGCCTGCTGCCCAGGATACACAGCGTCCCTTCCTTGTTTTTGCGTCTGCAACAATCATCTACACCACCTCAGCTTAGGGGAGGCTTTGTGTAGTTGATGGTGATCTGTGACGGAAGATCCTAGTGTGGCTACTGAAGAAGGAAGGTTTAACCGCTCTTTGTGAAAAAAATAAAGTACTCCTTGTCCAGAGTGCAAGTTTTCCGACTTCCTGACTTCACTTCCTGATTTCACTTCATATCATCAGGTTACTTTAGGGTGGAAGTGCTCATATGCACACCTAGCTAGGTCTTCTCTGGTAAGTCACAGGGGAGTTATTCAGAGGCCCTAAAAGTAAACTCAGAAAACCTTGAATTTGGGGGACTTTCTGAAATATTTGTGGTGGGTTGGAGATGCAGGTTAAGACCTGCATCCTCATTCCACCCAGGCCTAGAATGTTGAGATGGGCGTCATCATTTTCTCAGCTGTGTTGTTACCAATAGAGAAATCATAGCTTGGTCAAATGCTCTGTTATGGGGTAACCCCTGTCTTCTTTTCCTGATTTTCCTCACCATGAGGAAAGTCTGCTATCCAATTGTGCCTCAAGTTTGGGAATGTCCCTTCTAGATATGCATGGCAGAGAACTAACAATTGTGAAATCCATACTATGTATTGAAAAGTGGGCTAAACAAGCAGTATATATAGGCACGGGAGGTAGGCAACAGCACTACTGAGGGACACACACCTTAGAATGGTTAACCAAATAAGATCAAAAGGGCAGTGTTTACCCCAAAGGAAAGAAAAGGAGCTCTGGTTACATAGTGGTTACAAGTTGGGCAGCTAACCTCAAGGTCAGCAGTTCGAAACTACCAGATGTTCCGCAGGAGAAAGATGAGACTTTGTGCTCCCATTAAGATTTACAGCCTCAGAAACACTATACGGGGTTGCTATGAATCAGTACCGACTCCACAGCACATAGCACCACCCCCAACCCTCCCAAGGTAAAATTCAGAAGAGCTGGTAAAGAAGGAGGAATGAAAACAAGAAACACAAGGGCGGTAGTAGGAAATGTTACAGTGAGGAGATTGCAACCAGTGAGATGAAAGGAAATCTATGAGTTGTGGAATGTAAAACTGATGATCTGCTCTGTATCAATTCACAGTAAAAAAAAAACGTGTTTTTTTTAAGTGGGCTAGATGCCTACTATCTGTAACATGCTGCTAACCCTGATTGGGCAGGGGAAATAAAATGAAAACCACATCCACTGATGTTCAGGAGTTTCCCCAAATCATTGGGTCCCTGAGGCAGAGACAGTAGGGATGTAAGTGAAAAAGGAAGTCCGCAGTTGGCTTCCGCTTCCAGTAGGTTATTGAGAGGACTCACAAGCCTTTTAGGGATTATGTTTACACTTGAAAACCCTGCCATCCAAAGAACAACCCAAGAGAATAATCTAAGAGTCTATGTAAACTGATAACTAGGTATTTCTGGTCCTCACATGGAACTTCATACCTTTTTAGCCTTTCTAGGAGTCCTGGTATGGTTCTATATGTTAATGCACTAGACTGCAAAGTCAGTTTGAACTGCACAGTCGGTGGTTCAAGCTCACTAGCCAGTCCTTGGAAACCCTATACAGGGTCGCTATGGATTGGAACCAACTTGATGACAATTAACAACAACAGGGGAATAGAACCCATTCTTGCTGTGTATTATATCCCTTCATATAGGGTGCTGAGGAGAAATGGGTGAGAGGAATAGAACCTTCACTGAGACTAGAAAGGAAAGAGAGAAAGGAGAGTGATCCATTCCTCCATTTGAAAAGTACATGGTAATGAGTCCACAAATATTAATGTAATAAATTCTTATTATTTGGCATCTGTATTGTTGTGGAGTCCTTGTGTGGTGCTGCAGGATAATTCACTGGACCACAAGGTTGGTTTGAACCACAGGGTTGGCAGTTCAAACCCACCAGCCACTCCTCAGAAACCCTCTACAGGGTCGCTATGAGCTGGAACCAACTCGATGGCACTTAACTACAACATACTGTTAACTACTACAGAATTTACCCTCAGCAGGTCAGAGTCTAAAGTCAATGTATAGCTTTCCAGGAGGTGGGAGCTAGGAATGTTGACGAATTCAGGAAAATTAGGCCAAAATGGCATTCCTGCAAGGATTCTTACTTTGACAAATCCACCAAGACTACATGGAATGGGGGAGGAGGTATTTCTACAAAGAAAATGAGAGCATCACTACTCAAAGTAAAGGGTAGGGACCCTAGGCAGGAAAAGTCAACTGATGTTCACACCATGGTGTCAGGAGAATGAGAGCAGATCAAAGGAACGAGTTTCAAGGACTGTGATAAAAAGACAGGTTACAAATTGGCCCAGGAACCTATCAGTTTGAATCTACCAGCTGTTCCTCGGGAGAAAGATGAGGCTTTCTGCTCCCATAAAGATTTCCAGCCTCAGAAACCCTGTACAGGGTCACTATGAGTCGGAACCGACTCCATGGCACATAACCACAACAACAACTCTGGTCATCCCAAGAATTCCTTGAGAGCAGAACAAGGGAGGTTAAGTATGGTATTAAAACCAAGACGCATACTCACAGATACCCTGCCTGGGCTCCGAGACCATAATCCCATCTTTTCCTTGAGGAGCACTTGTTAGATTTGAACCACTGACTTTGAGGTTAGCAGTCCAGTTCTTCTCCTACAGTGCCACCAGGGCTCTTAAGTAGTCTTGTTGTTGTTGTTAAGTGCCATCGAGTCAGTTCTGACTCGCAGTGACCCCTGTATAGGGTTTCCAAGGAGCCGCTAGCAAATTTGAACTGCCAACCTTGCACTTCAAACTGACCTTGCAGTCTAGTGCTTACCTTATAGCGCCACATATAGGGAGTTGGCAGGAACCGAGTGAGTAGCCAATTTTAGTCAGCATTTAGTGGCTCAAATAGGATGTCTCTTGGAAGAAGAGAGACATCTGGGAAACGGGGGTAGGCAGAAGAGAGAAATCTATGGAGGGGTAAGCAGGCAGCCAATAAAAGACACTTCAGATAAATACCTGGAGCCCTGATGTGGCACTGTAAGGTAAGTACTGGACTACTAACCACAAGGTTGATGGTTCAAATCCACCAGTTGCTCCTTGGAAACCCAATACAGGGTGCTTATGAGTGGGAACTGTCTCAACAGCACTTGACACCAACAACATAGTTACTGGTACATGATACATGCTTAGTTTTCTCTGATCATGTGTTCAGGAATAGGGCAGTACACAGAACTTTGGGCTGTTGCTCTCTAACTGAGGGCATAATCTGGGTATATGTTCACAATGGCTACAATAAGTAAGGGCAAGGGACAGGATACCCTTAATATCTTCACTCAGAAGTAGGGTAAATAAAGACACAGAGGATTCAAGAAGGGGACTGCTTTGTATGACTCAAAGAGTCAAAAAAGAGACTCTAAGGGCAGAAGATCGAAGGGGAGATGTTGGCATTTTCAGCAGTCCTCAGCAAAATGCTTCCTAAACTGTGTTCCAGAGCTGTGCTTCTGAGAATTCAGTGTGCACACCAGTCACCGGGGGGAGCAGGTTAAAATGCAGGTTCTGATTTGATAGGTCTGAGATGAGAACTGCTAACAAGTTCCCAGGAGATGAGAATGCTGCTAAATCAGGGACAAAACTGAGTGGCTTTTGTTAATTACACTATTTCTTTAAGATGTTTATAGAGACGCAGGTCAAAAGTAGATAGAAAACTGATGAAATAAAGATGAATAGGCTTCTTTAATTAAGATTTTCACAGCTTTTAATACTAATGTCATTGTGACTCGACCTAGTTTAGGGAACGAGTGGAGATCCAACATGGGGAACTTCAAGGTTTCTGAACCTTCTAGACCACAGAAACTTTTGTGTTCTTTCCCTGTTGTTGTTGTTGTTAAGTGCCATCGAGTCAATTCTGACCCATAGCAACCCTGTATAGGGTCTCCAAGAAGCTGCTGATGAGCTTGAACCACCGGCCTTGCAGTTCAAACAACTTTGCAGTCTGAAGCATTAGCCCACAGCGCCACACCAGGACTCATTCTTTCCCTAGAGCACTTATTAATACCTTATAGTAAAACCCTGTGGATAAAACAATTTCCTTAGCAGACCTAAAACTATTAACCCCTTAACCCACCCCTAAACAAGTGGATAATGTAACACTACTCCTAAAGCTCTCTGGGAGAAGCCAGCCCTTAGGCCAGGATGGATTGGGCACTTTCTACTCTTTCATAGTGGCAAAGAGGGCTACAGAGAGATGACACCTATTGTGTAAATCTGATATCCCCTCCACCTCTAGGTGAACACAGCTTTCCCTCAAGTGAAGGAGAAGTACCTGAGTGAATACTGCTTTTCTGGAACCTATGTTTTAACCCTCCTGCAGAAATATAATCTCACAGAATACTGGACTCAAGTTGAATTCATGGATAAGGTAATTTGGGTACTTGTTGGGTTCCGGGGAGGTTGTTGGTAGTGAGTGAAGCCATTTGACCTTGAAAAAGGTGGGAGTCAGCCTGGTTTAAGTTTTTGGTCTGTAGAAGTCCTGAGGATACCGGTTTCATTATCCTCTTGCCAATAGACTTTGCTAGTCTAAATACAACTCTTTGCCTTGTTTTAACATCCCAGTCTTTCTTCCATTACATTCTGGGCTACCATTTGTTTGAAAGCTTTCTATATGCAATTTAAGATTGATGCGCAGGGCATTCCCGATTTACATTCTTTGAGCTCTAATGATGCATAAGTAATTAATTAAAGTGAGGAAAAGTGAATGTGTAAGGACAGTTCATGCCAGTGATGCTGTTGCAAAAATGGGATGATGTTGAGGATGAATTGTTAAGTAACTACACATATAATTTAATTCTATTTTTTATAAGAAAAAACATGCCTAAAGAATGCCTGAAGGATATGTCATAAAATGATAATTAGCAGCAAATTCTGAGTGGTTAAATATGGTTCGTTTTTATTTTCTTCTTTAGGTTTATGTATATTTCCTAATTTTTCTACCATGGCCATGCATAACTCATGTATTAGAAATGTTTCCAAAATTATTCACTGACTACCTGCATTCCAATAACTTTGGAAGTGACTAGGAAGATGGCGGGCAGAGCATGTTTTATTATTTCATAAGGATCCTTTCACATGTATGTGCATAATCTGCCAATTTCAGTAAAGTGCAATTGATTTGCTGGGATCATCGCCCAGTGTTTCTCTTGATGAATTATAAGGAAGTCTTGCTTTCACATGGCGCTCTTTGGGCTTGATGAAGACGGAAAAAGCCATCAGTACTGCCTCACTCTCTCAACTGCTGCCTGCTATCTCCACTCCCCACCCCCACTCACATAAGCAACAAAATACAAATACAAATGTTCAAAGGCCTGCTGTAATTATGTTCTAGGCAGGCAAATTGACCATTCACTAAAATCCTTTTAAATTTGGGGATATAGTGGTGAGGGTCCCAATTCTTCCTTGCTAATCACTTGCTATTAAATTTTTCCACAACCATATTTCTAGTTTAGAATTTACAGTCAATCCATTTAGAGAACTGATCATGGTGTCCTTCATTAGTGGTTGTACAGTGTTAACAATGGGTTTCATGAAGTCTATAGACTGTCTCCTTGGATCAACAAGTAACCGACTTTCCCCACTGTTTGCAGATTAACAACAAAACAGAAGCCGGGTGGACTTTGGGCTACATGCTAAACCTGACCAACATGATCCCAGCTGAACTGCCACAGTCTAAACCTTTCTCCCATCCCACCTACATCTCCCTCATGGTCATCTTCTCCCTGTTGCTGGCCATAGTGTTCATCCTAGGCTCAGTTATGTTTCAAAAGTCTTCCTATTTCTGGAAATAAATGGAATAGCAGGAGCAGTAGAAATCTGCTGACTGGAGTGAGGAAACTAAACAACAACAACAACAACAACCAGCCCAGGAAACATTTTCCTCCATGGCTGTGTACAAAGCCATCCTTTGCTGCTCACCAGTCTTGACCGACAGGAAGTTACCTTGCCTTTGGCTGAAGCCTTGCTTTGGGAGATATTCACCACCACCCTTTGCCTCAAGGAGTTCTTGGCAGATACTGTGTCTGTTGTGAGTCTTTCCCAATTGCCTCCTTCTCCTTCAGACTTTGTTTGTGTAAGTCTTGAAGACCTGCCACTTTTCATGATCTTTGCTTTATAAAAGAACAATATTGGATTTTTCTAGAACTGTGAGTCCTGAGTCATGTGCTGGGAATTTGAGCTGGTTTTTAGAAGAATCTCAGGAAATGGTTCGGTTGTACACTTTAAGAGTCCTTTTCTCTCTCCAGCTTCCCATTTATGAGAGGGATTTCAAAAAGTTCTTGGGAAACTTAAATAGAAAGATAATGGCAATTCCCAGTCTTTTTGAGTCCCCCTTGGAATCAGATCGACAGCAGTGGTTTAGGTTCCATAAGAAGCCATATGGTATCTCTGGAGAGACGGACACTCATCTCAGGCTTGGGCTGTCCTTTGGGTGGGAGGATTTTATAGACTAGGTAAATATGTGCTAGTACCAGAGTCTTGCAAGGAATCTATGTGCTAATGCAATTAATATCACTTAATCCAAATAAGGATATGGGTGAGTTTCATATTCCTAAGTGATGCTAAAGTGCTGCAGAGTGGAACACCAAGACCAGAGATTTTTTAAAAAGCTGATGTACATATAAGTGTTCAGACGTCAGGACATACTCATACTACAAGGTGGTGATGGTGGTGGTGGTGGTTATGTGCCATGGAGTTGGTTCTGACTCATAGCAACCCTGTACAGGATTTCTAAGGTGAGGCTGTAAATCTTTATGGGAGCAGAAAGCCTCATCATACTACAAGGTAGGTATATATATACATACATGTCTGGGACAAAATACAGTTACAATCATATTGGGAAAATGTATCCTACAATCTACTGAGTTTTGTTTTTGTTTTTTTTTAAATTGTGGTAAAATACATACAGGCATACCTTGGAGATACTGAGAGTTCCACAGCACTGCAATAAAGTATGACAGTAAAGCGAGCTGCACAAATATTTTGGTTTGCCAGTGCATGCTATGTTTACACTGTCCTTTAGTCTATTACAGTATAGTGTAAACATAATTTGCATGCACTAGACAAGAACATCCTGGGCTCAAGCCACCAACCTTACAGTTAGCAGCTGAATGTACTAGACAGTTACACCACAAAGATGGTTTTTGAGATTTAAAACTATGGCCTATCTTACTGTCCCAGGAATTCATTTAGTGAAAGAGCTGCACATGTGTGTGTGTGTATGCCAGAGAAAGAGAACAGGACTAAGTGGTGATATCCTGACCTGGCCCCAAGTTTTCTGTCTCTGGACCTGGGGCTGACTGTTGAACTGTTGGGGGAAGGAAAGCTCTCTCCCACACTAGGAACTGAATCCCCCATATCTCATGAATCAAGATGTTTTTGGACAATATCCAGGTAAATATAAACTTAATGAAACTTTCTGCTACCCACAACCAAATTTGCTGAACCTTAAGTAGGAATCAGAAGCCAAATTGGGACATTTAAACTCTTTTTCTAGTTGTTGTTGTTGTTCGGTGCCATCGAGTCAGAACTGACTCATAGCAACCCCATGCACAGCAAAACAAAACAATGTCCGATCCTGGGCCAACCTCACTACTGTTGCCACACTTGAGTCCATCGATGCTGCCACCTGGCCAATCCATCTCATTGGGGGT